ATGGGCAAAATCACAGTTTATTCTGCTTTTACTTTTTTTTAGCACGAGCCTTTGGGAAACTTTAGGGTTTGTAATATAACTAGCATGATGAAGCTAGCGGGGATGGCTCTGCTGTGTCATTTTGCCAGCTGAATGGACAGCATGGTGCAGTACTGTTGCCAATTATATATATGTAAAATTTTACTAAGGAAGACTTACTGTCTACAATATGGGCTATATCACAGGTTATTCTGCTTTAATGTTTTCGCATGAGCCTTTGGAAAACTTTTCAGTTTGTACCTAGCTTGATGAATCTCTGAGGCATGTGGGTCAGACAGAGTGACTCTGACGTCACTCATTTTGCCAGCATGGCATAGTTGCCAATTATACATTGTATGAAAATTTGAATTCATAAGACTACAGTATGGGCTAAATCACAGATTATTCTGGTTTACTTTTTGGCATTAGCCTTTGGGATATATAGTTTTTGGACAGTTTGTAGCAAGTATCACAAATTTCAGGTATGTGACTCAGACAAGTGATCACGACTCTGCTGTGTGATTTTGCCAGTTGAATGGACGGGGTGACAGACTTGGGTTAATTTGATGGAAGAAATCAACACCACCATGTCATGGGAAAAACTAACCTACAGTATGTCACATTTTTTTCTGCTGTCCCGGGAAGCATTTTTTCTGGCGACTTCAGTTGCTCTTTTTAGATTCTGGAAAGCTGTTGTAGACAGAATTTTGGCAAAGAGGTTATCTATTTCAATATATTAACAAGAAGCCATAGGCGACAATTCTCCGTGAAGTATTATATATTGCAACAAAAAGAAGTAGCCATTGGCGACAATTCTCTGTGAAGTGTGATAAATCGAACAAAGAAAAATTGTTTAAACGCGCGTCGGCTCAGTCATCTTAAGACGCAACAACCAATCAGAGATGCGAGATGCCTACACGTGACGCGGGAAGGGCGCGCGATGCCCGAAATATTTTTGCGTCAATATTCAGCGCCGTGATTCAAGAGATTAATACCCGGAAACAATTTTTTTCTTGTTTTGAACGCATTAACATGCATTTACGCTAATCTAGTATGATTCAGGGTTACTTTTTTTTAACCTGCCATGGCCAGATTATCTAAAGATGTGTGTATTGTGTGTACAATCTATAGAAAGAGAAATGTACATCAGGTCCGATCATCCGATTTTCACGTTTCGGTTTTTTGGACTCGGTTCATGAACGCATTTTGGTTTGGCTCCTGGAATGTGCAAAAAAATGACTCCCGGGACTGTCTACAGGGAACACTCGCACATTCGCGGTGTATCAGGACAGCGCGACTGGTCGTCATTAGCGCAGTAACAGTTGCATAAACGGACGAAACCATTTCAAAGAAATGGGGATGTTTCGAAAATAAGCATTTACTCCAATATCAAAACAGCTACGGTAAAAATAAAAAGACGTGCATCATCCCGGACATAATGCAACACCACATGCGAAATTACACAGAAATGCGACGTACGGAAGAATGCGTTTTGGCTGCGAACATCTTCCAAAAAACTTTGCATCTCTTAACCATGGGCAAAAACATCTGGAACCACTTATAAAAACCACCCCGTATCTGCATGAACTTTTTTGAACCCCACTGCTATTCCAAACAACGCGTTTTTCTGGACCATTCCAATTCGCCTCGTAATTGTAGGGGTGCGTCTGCGATATTACATTGACCGCGAAAGCAGCAACGGCAAAAATACACATTCGTGCATCAACACGGGCATGCCCGCAGACGGCGTATAAAATTGCGTGCCGATTACACAAAGAGAACCCAGTGTTTTGACTGCGAACATGAAAAATCAGCCGATTACAACACTCCGTCCGGAGGTCCTGACCTCCTTCACGGAGTAATTAACGTTTCTGGGTTCAAGGACTCATGAGTTTCTGAAGTTATAGTCTGTTACAGTTTGACCTGTTAGTGTCATTAGGTTGGTTTAATTTGATGGAAGAAAACAGCAACACCATGTCACGGGAAACTTATATAACGTCCCAATTCGTTCTTCTGGGAAGCATATACTTCTAGTGAGTTCAGTTACTCTTTAGATTATGGAAAGTTGCTGTATGCAGATTTCTGGTTTGCAGAATTCTCGAGAATTCTGGCTTTGAATTCTGAAGACTTCTGGGAAACAGGCTGTCTCTATGGAGACAGCTTATTAAAGCCCAATAATGTTCATTACCTTTTCTTAAATCCTACTTAGAGATGTACTGATTCATTTGGTCCATTCCTTACACTTAACTTTTCAGACTTAGACTCATGAGTGTCTAGAATTATAGTCTGTTACAGCTTGACCTCTAAGTGGCGTGGCAAGGTTGGGTTAAATTTGATGGAAAAAAAACAACAGCGCCATGACATCAGGGAAACAACTTGTGTCCCAATTCTATCTGCTTAACTTGTAGTAAGTTCCATTGCTCTTTAGCTCCTGGAAAGCTGCTGTATGCTGTATGCAGAATTATGGCTTAGAGATTCCCATTCTCATTCAATTTTGGCTTTGAATTCTAAAAACTTCTGGAGAACAGACTGTATCCATGGTGATAGCTAATTACCACCCAATGTTTTCACCCACCTGTTGTTAAATCCTACTTCGAGACACGCTAATGGTCCAGATAATTCCATATAATTAACTCTTCAAAACTGGCTGAGTGTCTAGAACTACAGTCTGTCACAGCTTGACCCATTGTCATGTTTTTACTTGACTACGTAGGCTATAATGGGCATGTTAACACATTTTGCGCTAAGTGCTTGGTAAATCATTAATCCAAAGCAATGGGAAATGTCTACCAAACAAAAGACTTTATCTCTGTCTTGTCTTACCCGTAAACAAGTCTATTTGACATTCAGATCAGACAACGTCAGAAAAGGGTTACTATGCAATGATTTCGTCTTCTAAGTGTGACTTTCTAAACGTTTGGTGTCATAGATATGTCTATAGAACAAATGGAAGTTTGTAAAACAGCTTATAAACAGTGAAGCTGAGAATGGGAACCAACAGAAGAATGCTTTCTTTTAAGTCACAGATTTAGAAGCCAGTCACGTACATGTGTACAGTAAGGGTGATCACACAACCAACAACATTGGCGACAAGATTTAGGAGAAAAGTTTGTAAGCCATGGGCAGTGACGGTGCAGTTGGCTGGAAACAGATCACTGTGGTGTTCTGTGTGCTGGTGGCTATACTGTTTGTGGGAGCAGGCATCTTCAAGGCGCTCGAGGAAACCTTCTACGATCCGGCCGTGGAGAGAGTACAAGATGTGGAGGAAACTCTGGCCGAGTTTGTGACAAATCACAGTGATGTGACACACGACCAAGTGGTGGAACTACTGAGGAAGATTGACATAGCGAGGCACGGATACAGTGACATTGAGGATGGTAAGAGAGTTACATGATATTCTAGTCTCCAAGGCAGCCACCAGCGGATATTATGTGCAGTTTTTCTGATAGTTGAACTGCTTGGACAGAATGAGACCTTGACAGCTGTCTATATATATATGTCTTCATCGCAATACATGCAAAACTTCAATAAGAGGACTCATGCAGACCTTGGAAAAGCTCAAATAAGTGTGTTACATTTCAAAGTTACATGTGCAGATTACAAGATAGAAAGCAAGACTTAGTGCACCAGTGTAGATCTGCATATATAGAGCCCCCCTCAAAGAATATATCTTGACCTTGTTGACAAATACAGTGCATGACCTTGACAAATACAATGTATGGTATCTGACCAGAATATTAACAATGGCTTAAATAAGTAGCATTTGGAAACAATTATAGTACAGCACTAATATATAATTATTCCTCTTTCTATCAAACTAAATATACCAGTACCTACAGTGTATTTGTTCAGAACACAATAACTATTAAATTAATGGAATTGTCGATATTATGTACCTATCTTTCATTTTCAGTTTTACCCAAGAATACATCCAAGACCCACTCCCTGGACTACATGGAGTCTTGGTACTTCTGCATGACGATCGTCACCACCATCGGTTATGGACATATGGGGCCTTTGACTGATGCTGGCAAGGTATTTTTTTACTTTATATTCGCAGTAGCAAAAGTTTGCAGTCTGAGAAATATGGACATGTTTGTGGAACTATATGTTAGTGATGGCAGTAGGTGCAGTAGAAATAAAGTCAGTGAAAAATTTGTTTGCAGTATAAATAAATTTGTGGTACAAAAGTGACCGTGAAAATGAAAGTACAGCAAATAGAAAGAAAGTACAGACTTACTTGCACATAAAATACAACCTGCTACCTTTGGGCAAATACTATTTTTTTATATTAAATTTTACAATATCTTCATAAGTCAATCCCTCAACCAACAAATACCACAAAGAATTGTCAGGTTCAGATATCCTTAGGTTAATATCAAATTGAATGTTTTTTGCTTCACCACTGTCCCCTATTCATTGATGGTTGCCATATTTTACAGGTTTTCTGCTGCATCTATGCCCTAGTAGGCATTCCGGTGTGGATCATCCTTCTAACTCTTGTTGGGGCACAGTTGAGTGATTCAACCAGGTACACTTTAAATGATGTAAACTTTATATTACATTATGTCTGACCCTTATACCTCTGTGTCCATAATATCACCATAGTCCATAATATCGCCACCTTGAGAAAAAGTGTGCTTAAAGATATTTTTACTGCAACATACCCTAGGTACATGTATGTACATCTGAGGTGTGCAGGAGTGCATACCAAAAGTATGTTGCAGTAAAATATCTTAAAGCACACTATTTCTCAAGGTGGCGATATTATGGACCCTGGTGATATTATGGACACGGATGTTACCTCTTCCCTCATGACCTCAATGAAAAGTGGCCTGCAGGTCAAAGTAGAAACAGTTTTCGGTTGTCTAGTAATAGAACACTTTTGTTTTGAATTTTAAGGGCAGTGCAAACAGTATTAGTTAAACTGAATTCTTCAACTTAAGGTAACCTCAAAATACAAATCAGATTACTAGCAAATACTGACTATGATTGAAGTCTAGTTCTCGCTCCATAAGAGTCTTGTTGCTGAAAGTTGTTTTTCCTTGAACAACCTCCAATCATCATGATAACAATGCAGTGTCCCATTCCACTCTGTGCAGAGCATAGGGGTGATGCCCATCTCCATTTCTGTAGCCCTTGGGCCACACAGTTATGCAAGCACTACATCAGGGGGCTAGCCCGGTAGTACCGTTGTATGTTTGACCTTCCCGTACTCTTTCTCATAGATGCTGAGTGCTAAGCAGAGAAAGTTTACTAAGCAGACAATGTACCATTATTTAAATCTTTAGTAAGACCCGGCTGGGTATAAATGAAATCTTTAATGAAACTTTGTAATTTTCCTTGCACAGATGGATGGAGAAACGTGTGAGTGAGCTCTTAGCCAGAGTAACGCGGATTCCGAAGAAATTTCGAGCGCCTGGACTCATCACAGCCATAGCCTTCATGATAACAGCATTTTTCTTCATTCCTGCACTCATATTCCATAAAGGTAATACATGTAATTCATTATCTCTGAGTCTCTCATACTTAGACTATATTATTTGGTTAATCCATGATAATTTTTTAGAGAGAAGACACAGACTGACAATGAACTGAAACAAGAAGTAACATTGACTCTGAGACAAGATTCTAAAAAGGGTGGGCACCCTTACTTTGTTTAAGTGCCAAGATCCAACACTCAGCTTCACATGTCCTCATATGTACCAAGGACTAGCAGGCTGTGGAACTCCTTACCAGCCTCGGTTTTCCCTGACAGTCCTAACATGACTAAGTTCAAGACTGCAGTAAACAGATTCTTGTTGAATTCCTCCTAGAGATTTTCTACTTTTTGACAATAATGTACCATGTAATTATGTATTATGTATAATGTATTTGATAAGGGTATGTATGTGTGATCAAGCGAGGGGAATTGATGTGACATATTGAACCGAAGATCATCGTTATACGATGTTAAGATCAGGTTCACTCTGCACTGATTAGAAAAAAAAATGTGTTATCTTATACTGTACTAAACCCTTGTCTCACTAATTTCCACACTGCTAAATGAAAGTCTGCTGGACCTTAACACAAAGAAGACTTCTTGCTTGATCACATTAATTGATATTGTGAATATTGTTAAGCTCATTTTACGCACTTATTTAGTTGCCTATATGTTAACTGTGAAATACTCACTTGTTTAGTTGTCTATTTGTTTCTCTGTTTTTAAACACTAGCATACAATTCAGCGCTACTTTTTTAGTTGCGCTGCCACATGCTAGAGATTGTACTCATCGATCAATCAATAAACAATTATTATGACTGTCACAATTATTATTAACAGAAAGCTGCGAAACAGTTACCAAATACAAACTTCTAAAATTGACTGCTTGATCATTCTATACTCTGTCTTCTAGTTGAGTCCTGGACCTACCTGGACGCCATCTACTTCTGTGTTATCACCCTGACCACAGTGGGGTTTGGGGACTTTGTTCCAGCACTACCAACAGAAAAGATGAATACAGCTTCTAATGTTGCCTACAAGGTAATTGACATAGTTCACGTTAATATAATAATTGTCTTTTTTTGGAGAGCGTGTAAACATTTGTTGAGAAAAGCTTGGCACTGAGTTTGCCAATGCACAGAGGTTGTATCTGCCTCCCCCATATTTCAGTGTTTTAGATGAAGGCTGTTTATGCAGCATTGTTTGATCCATGAATAGTTTCATCAGGTTTGTACGTGTAAGTCAGTGAATAAAGAGACTCTCTTTACACAACCAAGAGGTCCGTTCAGCAAGCATTGACAGAGGAAGTCAGCAGAGTAAACCTCTTGGTTATGTTAAAAGAGTCTCTTTAATCTATGATGCGCTTGATTCTATGCAGAGGTTGGACTAATGTTTCTCCCCACTCCCCCAGATTTCAGTGTTCCTGTGGATCACAGTGGGGCTGGCCTTCCTTGCCGGCTCCCTTGAGAGAATCGGAACAGCTCTGAAGCTTCTGGGAGAGAAGATGACAGACATGGATCTAGATCCTCTCGAGATCACCAACCGACCTACAGACAACGTTGACGGTCAAACCAACGAGGCACTCGACATCCAAAGCAACCATGACTTAAACGGGGCAGACCACAGAAATGGCTCGAACAATGTCGCAAATGGCAGGACGCAGACGAGGAAAGAAAAAGAGATCAAACCACAGGAACTGGCAGACTGGGGTAAAAATGGACATTACAGACAGGGAGACACTGCTCTGTGATATCATAGATGGCATAATCCATTTTTTATTACGTAGTTTAAAACTAAAACCCTCGGAAGAAAGGGAACAACAGACACTAAACCAGATAGTGAGTAAGTGAGTGAGTGAGTGAGTGAGTGAGTGAGTGAGTGAGTGAGTGAGTGAGGAGTGAAAGAGAGTGTGAGAGTGATTGAGTGAGTGAGAGAGAGAGAGTGAGTAAGTGAGTGAGTGAGTGAGTGAGTGAGTTTAAAATTGCAGAGCTGCTTGTCCTTGCCTTTGTTATCTTTCTATTCATTAAGACTTTGGAAAAGAATATTAAAGAAATCAATTTGTGCAATCATGATGTTAACTTTCACTAGAAGAAATCATGACATCAGAAATTGTTTGAGTTTGAAGAATTGGAGCCTCAAACCTGAGTGAAATCCTTTCAAAACCATGTCAACTTGTTGCAAATTTCAATTTGCTTGTTATGCTAGTTGCGCCTTGGCCATACTCCAGAGTCAACATTTGATGCAGCTGTGAACACTGTAAAAAAATGTGTAGTACTTTAAATGTATCATATCATCATGTTGTAACGTTAGATGGTGTGCAAAATATAGAGTTTATGACTTTTATGACCTGGATATTCTGCCTCTTGAGAGGAAACTTGAAGCAAGGGGCACAACCCGCCGTACATGCATCTGCCTGCTGTCTACATGCAAAAACAAATTTTTGGGATTTGCAAGTGGTGAGCTCCGCCTCCGTACAGAATCCAACAAATTTGGGAGCACGCAGACACGTCGCAGCACGTTAAGTGCATGGAAAACTTTCTCTGCATTCGGGCTGCGGATTCACCCCCCGTACAAGCCAGTACAGGCATCGCCCGTGCCCTGTACGTACCGGTACGTACCATACGCAAGTAGCACGGGTAAGTACAGCCTGCATACAGTAAAGTGGCAATCGCTCAGAAATCGTGCGTTGTAAGCATGTACGACTCACCACTTGCGCAATGAACGATGCACGCAACCGCTCACGGCCAGGCGTGGTGTGCAGACCACATACTTACACCTTGCGCAACCGTGTGAGTGACATGCGTTGACGTACCGCTCATGCCAGTCCTTCCCCGCATTTTCAGATAAACGTAGCAGACGTGGCCTAAAAAAAAGCGTACGGACAAAAAACATGTACGGCGGGTTGTGACCCTTGCTTAAGGTCTTATTCGTGAGTTTTTGTTAACTATAGCCGTCTATGGCAAAATACGTAACTTTACATAGGCCAAAACCCAATAATTTGAATGACAGCCATCTAGTCTATCCAATCAATTTTGAGCACAATGGCCCTACATTACGTCAAAAAATTCCCAACCAGATCTAACCCAACAATCTCTTTTTATTTATTTATAAACTGCACTTGGCCACTCTCTGCCAGAGGTCCTCCAGCGCTGCTACCTCCTGACCGCATTACCCATCACAACAGCGTGTAAACATCCGACCTGTCGCGCGGATGTCAACACTTACCCACTAATTTTAGCACATACAAACAACCTCTCATATCACAAGCGGTTTACGCCAACTGACTTAGCTAAAATGCAATTTCTGGCGGATATAAACACACATCCATACACGCATTTAATTTTTAGTACGATCTACTTTAGAGTACCCACGCGGAAGAATACCAGAATGAGACCTTAACAGATATAAAATCATGTACAATGTACAGTTTAGTATAGTTTATTTATTTTAATGCCTCAGGCTTTATAGTGCTTTGTAGTCTGTATATTATTATTATTTGCATCATACAGTACAATCATGTATTTAGTAAATGACAGACTTAAATATAATATATAATATAATACTGGGTTCGTGAATCTTCTATGATCTTAAATATATTTTAGAGATGCTGAAGAAGAGTGTGATTGTTGTCAGTCAAAATGTCCGGAAGACATTTGTACCAAATGTCAATTTGTAAATAGCGTTATCTATTGATGGGAAAAGTATGCAATTCAGCCACTTTACCTGGCTGCGATGTACTTTTTTAAGGATCATGGTGATCAAATAAACCAGTCATTCATTCAAGAAATCTCCATAATTCATCCAGAAGTATTAAGTTTGAATATGTCTCTGAAATGTCTGACTTGGAAGTTAACTTGTAGAACTTTGTATTCAATATTATTGATAGTAGTACTAAATAACTGATAACTGATCATTTCCCTGAGATGAAATTTGATACTTAACAATTGACATAGAAATAATTTATTGTCCTTTGCAAAAGATAACATTATTATATAGGTCATTCCCAGAGGGTTTGTGAATTTTCTATGATCTTGAATGTATTTTAGAGATGCTGAAGTCACTTGAAATGTCCGTAATCTATCCAGTAGTAGAGTTTGATTTGTCTTTGAATATCTTAAATATCTGACTTTGGCATTACTTGTAGAACTTTATATCCAATCCTTCACTTAAATCAATCATTTACCAGAGATAAAATTTGATAGTAACAATTGACATAGAAATGATTTATTGTCCTTTGCAAAAGATAACATTATTATATAGGTCATTCCCAGAGGGTGTGGTATCAGGAGAGTTCAACAGCAGACTACAGCCATAGATCAAAGTCGCCCGCCCGCCCGCACCACCCATAAACTAAACAAAGCCACGGGAAACTGGAGTCTGTTATTGAAGCCTACATAGATTAGTCCTTAAATATTCATGGCCACTTATAACGTCACAATACTACAGCGCAACACCGGCGTCGGAAAGTCCGAATCATTTATAGAGTCTAAGTCTGGAGGGAAAAGGTAACTAAAAAAAAAGAGGTCCCATTCCACTCTTTGCAGAGCATAGGGGTGGCGCCCATCTCCATTTCTGTAGGCCTTGGGCCTCACAGTTGTGCAAGCACTACAACAGGGGGCTAGCCGCTGGTAGTGTTGTGTTGACCTTCCCATACTCTTTCTTATAGATGCTGAGTGCCTAGCAGAGAAAGCTTGTATGTACCATTTTTAAAGTCTTTGGTATGACCCAGCCACTCATAGTAACTGGTGCAAAATTTATTAGAGGTATGGATATGGAGATGCACACTGAGCATTGGAGTTTCTTATGATATGATTAAACATGCCACTAGGATATTGGGAGGTAGGAAAACTTAACCTGTACAGATATTAGAGACCAGTCCTGTAAAAATATTAGACACCTTTGCAGATATTAGAAACCTGTACAGATATTTAACAAGCATGGATATGGAGATGCACACTGTGCATAGAACTGTTAATATGATATGATTAAACCTGCCACTTTGAGTTAGGATATTGGGAGGTGGCAATTAGAGATCGCCTGGCAACCAGCCACCCACGGGAATCACTTTTTTTATGGGAGCCTTTCAGAGGGTGAGACAAATGGATGGACCTTGACCCAACATTGTCTAGTTTCCGGGGAACACAGGTGTGAATAGAAAAGGTATGCCCCAGTGAGTTCTCAGTAGATTATGCTGAGGACAAGCCAGGGAGATGACACCATCCTTGTGGGCTTGTTGAATGCACTTGTGAAAGCTACATGTAAGTTCAACAGACTGAAGGTACATAGACTTATGTATACGGTATTATGTTTATGGCTACTCAGATAATTGTATAATCGCCAATCATAGTGTTGTTTTACAATTAATGTAATTCATTTTGTACGTTTTAAAGGCAGCAACATGAAAATAGCGTGCTACTTAGTAAACAACTTACTAATGTAGCTAAAATGGCATACTTACTATGAGGCTTGGTCTCTTAAATACTCATCTACAATGGAGGTCAGGTGTGAATGGAAAAGGTGTATCCAGTGAGTTCTCAGTCTATTGTGCTGAGGACAAGTCTCGGAGAGGACACCATCCTTGTGGGCTTGTTGAATGCACTTGTGGAAGTTCAACTGAAGGTAGGTGTACTATAAATGTATGGCATAATGTTTATGGATACTCAGATAATTGTGATTCCAAATCATTGTGTTGTACAGTTTTACATTTAATTCATCTTGTACGTTTTGAAGGCAGCAACATGAAAAGTAAGACTTAGTGCTACCTACATTTAGTAAACAACTTACTAATGAAGGCAAAAATGGCATATTTACTAGGAGGCTGGGTCTCTTAAATACTCATCTACTAGTAGGTCAAGTCTATACCAGGTCCTTCATATATATCTTAAGTGCGGTATTCAAGTACATGTACTGGCATGTTTTTTTAGAAAGCCCAGATATATATTATCAATATCAACAGAAACAAAAGCCTGCTTACACTTGAAAATGATACAAACAAGATCTTACCACTAACAAAATTTTATTGTGTATTCTATCTGGCATTGTCAAAGGCAAGCCAAACTAGTATGAGGCTTACTTAGTATCTCCTGGGATGTTGTTGGGTCACAATGGCTCATTATATACACAACTGCAGGACTGTACATGTACATGTAATGTCCATTAACCTTATACATGTAGGTGACCTATATCTGTCATCTCCAAGACTGAGTATATTAAGAGATTTGTGGACACGATATTGAAAGTTTGCACACTTCAGGTACATCTGTGGATTATCATATGATTATGGATGGATGAACTTAATTGCACAACTGTACCTCCTGCTTGATTTGACTCACAAGAATGTTCAACTACTACTAACTACTACAGATTTTATCATAACTACCCTTGTGCACCTCAACAATTAGAGCACACCCGGTGATCCAGTTATTATCATCGATGTGTAAGTGATAAAAAGGCTGCTAAAAGATCTAGTACAGATACTAGTACATTCTTATGGTTCAAGTTGGAAGGTATTTATGTTGTTGTTCGTCTGTTGTAATTTTGTACAGTAACAGTAGCTGTTATATTTAACCTCTTGTAACTGGCATAATTCACAAAAACAAGACAGTGGATTTTGACAATGCCAGTTATCATCAGTGATTTGTAAATGTTGGGTTGCGGCTCAAAAGTCAGCTAAACCTGTTCGATCAGCAAACCAGGTGTTTCTGGTGGCATGACCCCAGGTGCTCAACATGTAATGTTGTTTTCCGTGTTGACAGCACCAACCTTGAGACTTTAATCTTACAACTTCACAAGAAAAGTGGGTGTGGTGAAGTGCCTGGAGGGTTCTGAAAGGTCATATATAACACCTCATGTACAATCTCCTGCATTCTTACAGACGCTGAGGTTGGGCAAAGACGGAGGGGAAAAGTTACTGCACTGTCGACAATTATTGCGATTGATCGATTGATTCTGAGAGGTCATATACATTATTGTACAATCTTCTACATTCTTACAGACTCTGAGGTTGGACAAAGACGTGCAAGACAGAGGGGAAAAAGCTCACCGCACCGTCAACAGCAGTTGGGACAAAATCCCGAGGACAGTTATCACTATTGAACGATTGAGGACTGGTCGTGTACAGTATTTGTACAATCTCCTGCATTCCTACAGAGGTGGGTCAAGAAGTGCAAGACAGAGAGGAAAAAGTGACACCGCCGTCCACAGCAGTTGGGTCAAAACTACTGAGGACAATTATTACGATTGAATCTGAGAGGTCATATACATTATTGTACAATCTCCTACATTCTTAAAGAGGTTGGGCGAAGACTTGCAAGAAGAGAAATTGTCGACAGCAGTTGTGCCAAAACTCCTGAGGACAATTACCACGATTGAACGATTGAACTACCAACACCATGGGCGAGGGACAAGCATCCTGGAGGCAGATATTGCCAGTTTTCATCATCTTCCTGATATTCCTGTTTGCCGGAGCCGGGATCTTTAAGGGATTGGAAGAATATTTCTACGATCCTGAAGACCCGCCACCAAGAAGACGAAAGGTGGACGAGATCATTCACGAATTTGTCAACAACGTCACGTTTAATGGAGCTCCGACCAGCGAGGAAGTACACAATTTGGTGAAGCAGGTTGAAATTGCGAAGCACGGAAGAGTCCTCGAGCAAGGTGAGAAAGTGGTTTCTTTGAAGATACGTTTTTGATAATCTACAGTGCTGTTGATCGATTACTAGATAATGTTCACAGATACCCCCTAGTATTATACCCTACTGCCTTCAATATATATAGAGAAACTTAATACAAAATACAAAACAGAGTTACTAGAAGTTAGACATTCTTAGGGACAGAAGTTAGTAGAATTTTCTTTCAAAAATGACAAGTTCTTGGAACATCACAATCATGGATCCTGCCCTTCTGTTTTGGAAATAGCAGCATTTCCTTAACAAAGATACCTCTGAAGATTACCTTAAAGCTTACAAAACATGCACTAGTCTAAGCCTTGCTTGGCCAAAATGCCTTATAATGATTATAATTTAAAAGGGTTGGAAGGACACAAGTGCACTTAAAACCCAATCAAAATGCACCCTATGGCCTTGGCACGGACAGTGACATCTTGTATGCAAGCTACTGAAAGCACACATAACAGCATATTGGTTCTGTGCCCCCTATTTTCACCTTAAGTTTATTATGACTCTGTAATTATGATTCTCTTTTTATCACTCTATAATTGTAAAATATGTTGTCATGGCTCTGTTGTTTAAAAGACTGGCATTTATGTGTAGATCTTTGAAAGTCTGAAATGATTTTTCATTTAGCTAACAGTTTTCATAATGTCACACATTTTGTATACACATGTACATTAATAATTCAAATACAGGAATTGTCTGTATGTGACTCATTTCTAATTTGTTTTGCAAAGAAAATCCTCAGGCTTAACTTCGGGTTAAATGCCTTGAGCAGTTGCGTTCCTTTCCCCCCTACAGATATTCTAACATCCTGTCTTTTGTATAAAAGCTCAAGTGTAATAATTCCACAAAAGTCTAGGAACAATGTTCTTGGAGAAAATCCCATATCTTAAGAGATTGTGGGCTTAAATCTTTAGCTTTCAATGCTGTAAACTATGGCCACGAAGGCATATATTATCCTACCATCTATGATCTGCTGTCGAGACCACTTTTTGTTGAACAATGGCAAAGACCACCTGTTCCCTGGGGGTCCCTGTGAAGACTTAGAAGTGCCGTGGGGTATATACACGTACACTATAATCATAGGTTTGGCTAAAAGCACTAGAATGAACGACAATGTACAGCACTTTTCAAACTATTGATTTTAACCAGTCACCAATCTTCAGAGTTAAGTTGAATGTTGTTGAGAAATGAATGAATGGCACTATTGATTGATTGAGTCAGATAATGTCTAAACTCGGGCATAATCTTCAATTATTATAGTTACCCAGTCCTGTCACAGATTTGGTTGATATTCAAGCAAGTAGGTGTATAAGACATGATTATGCCTTGATTAATAAATATTATCATTAATAATACAATATTCAAACAAAAGCGTGTGTGTGTGTGTCTGTCTGTGTCTGTGTAACTTAGTAGAATCCATAACAAAAAAATTTAAACTTTGTTCCAATACAACAGGAAAACTTCCCACCATAATTCTAAAATACAACTTAATATATGTTTAAGTTTAACCCAATGAAAATTGCAGACTACTAGTATGCAATGATCTTGTCCCATCTTAATAATCGGTGTGGTTAATTAGGAGTTACTAATCTAATTAAAGACAGTTACTGCACATGATTACAAAGCTGTCATCAGTTCTACTTCAAAGGATATATTGAGTTTGGTGAACTCTTTTGTTAAGACCACTGCACAATTTTCTGGAGGCTAGACATACTGTAATTCCTGATTTTTTCACACTTCACTGTTTTCACAGTCACTTCTGTACTGTGAACTTATCAATACCGGTAAAGATTTATTCCCCAACTTTCTTTTTCCTGCACCTGTCGCCACAATGAACATTATGGTTTCGTGAACATGTCCAATTTTATCAGACTGTGAAATGTTGCTCCCATGAACATAAAGTGAATTACTGTAATGACAGTTACGTCATGACTGATACAGGCAGTGCCTACGTGCAGAAACACAAGGGGACTGATGACCTTTCAGTAACAACATTAGGTTGACATTTAGCAATCCCTGGTTGAAAATAAAACAGAACAAAACAAAATTGAGTACATTTATCTAACAATCTGTAAAGCTATAAATTAAATTCATTATTAATCTGTCCTTGTGTTGTTCTCTATAATTCAATGTTGGTTTGATTAACTACATTGTTCAAAATTTAGGTACTTTGTGCTACTTTTTAATTTTTTATACTCGTTAACGAAAAAATCTATTGGACCTGGTATGAATTATCGTTTTCTAGTCTGAGAGCCATAGCAATACTTATGTGTCCTACAATTGAAATAGAGCTAAAACTTTGTTCCAACACAAGTTAGACATACATGTAAACTTAGCGCATTGACTAACTTTTTGTGTTGGATCAAATGTATAATGGGTAGAAGTTGTGAAAAAAAAAACAATTTGAATGTCTAACGTGTAATCACCAGACTACCAATTGTATAATATTCTTGTTATTTAGTTTGGTTATTTTTGTAAATATTAAAGATAATTTGTGTGTTCCCTAAAACTATGTAATTCAGCCTTTTGTACAATACATTGTATTGTTAGGCTGCAATGTTGTTTTAGTTCTATGCCAATTTGCAAATAAACCATTTAATATAATTTATATAAAAGCATTTTATTAATTGTATCTTGACATGACATATTTTTTGCAGTGTCGTATCACAATGATACATTGTACAACCTGGACTACATGGAGTCCTGGTATTTCTGCATGACGATTGTTACCACCATCGGATATGGACATATGGGGCCTTTGACAGATGCCGGAAAGGTATGTCTTCATTATATATACATGTGTAGAAAAGCCCAAGGCTTAGTGGGCTTAGTGATTGTGGGTTTGAATCCTTAGCTCATATCTTATCTATTCTGTCCACACCACATTACAAGGTACAAGTATGCCTCCCTATATGGTTGTCTCAAGTTACATTTAGCTAACAACACTTTCACTAACAGACATCAGTTGCCATTTTTTGCCAGGGGCAACTGTTTTGCTAAATTCAATTTGTTTTAAAGTTTTGATAAATCTATAAAGGAGGAACAACAAGCAATAAAGTCAAATAATAATTACTCTTGTCTGCCTTAGTAGCAAAACAAAATCCATGTCTGTATGTGAGGTATAAAATCTGCCATGTTCTTGTGCTGATTACTGCTATTATAATGGTAACTACAGTCATCTCTACTATTTTACAGATCTTCTGCTGCGTCTATGCATTTATTGGCATCCCCATCTGCTTGATCCTACTGGCACTTGTTGGTGGACAACTGGGCGATGCTAACAGGTAAATTGGTTTCATAATGTACATGTTGTACTTTGTAGATGAAAAGGAGGAAACATTAAGTCCCTAATATAAATGTACCTGTATGATGTGGCGGTTAAGATTCGGGTGGCAACACACTGTCAAGGTTGGCCTTATTAGGCCACACCAAGTAAATTTTATGGACGACGTCCTTTGGAGATCCTAAATCTAATGCGAGAGGGCGAAAAAAAAACAAGAAGGGCCCTAAAAAACAAGATGAATTAGAAATATTCTAAGAGACTAGAAATATACTAAGAGACGACAAATGTTAGGACACAAATTGAATGAGGTGACACAGTGTAACAAGCAAGAAGTCTTTTATTCATCATCAAAACAGCGATAAATCAAGCGGAATTTCTTGTGTTTTTTTCTAGGAACAGGCCAAAATCAATGCGCGCGCGGACGTCATCCATAAAATTTACTTGGTGTGGCCTTATAATATAGTGAAGGGACTGGCAAAATGCTGCAAGCAGTTGGAGACAACCATGTCATGTACATGACTAGTAGGATTTTCTTTTCACACAACTCTCACCTGCTTACATTCCGGTATCGATCAGACACCTTCCGCAAAACTTCTGACAGGGCTGTTTCTTGCCACTTACTCTATACACAGAAGTACATGTAGTACTGTTACAGGTTATGTAAAATGAAAAACCTTTCAAAATATTCAATGTTTTATCAACTAGATGATTCAAATAATTTTCGGAAGTACATGTACTATAAACAACCATAACATAAACTTTGTATATCTGCATAGATGGATGGACAAGCGTGTGAAGGAGGCACTGTCCAAGAAGATAAAGAACCCAGGGTTCATCAGCATCGTGGGGATTCTTGTGTCCCTTATCGTGATGCTGAGTGTTTTCTTCTTCATCCCTGCTCTCATCTTCACTTTAGGTATGTCTGAGACACTATTTGAATTAAACATTCTTCAACAATCACTGCAACAAGTACCAGAGTTATCAACCAAAGATTGAGGTGTTCAAAAACTCATTTTTTCCTAGAACTATGGCAGGGTGGAACTCGCTGTCACCAAGGACAGTAGGGGCATCATCCCTAGATAGCTTTAAACAATTGAAAATTTCAGGATCATGTAACTTTGTAAGTCTTAGCAAGGCAAATGAGTGATATTCCTAATATGGTAACTTCAATGATATTTGGACATACTGTATCAAGAAGAATTGCTTTCTGTTAAATACAAAATTAAACTCACTTTCTTTAAATTCTTCCTTTCCCAGTTGAAGAAGACTGGACCTACCTAGAGGCCCTGTATTACTGTTTCATCACCCTGAGCACTGTTGGGTTTGGAGACTTTGTCGCTGCTCTACCTTCAAAGACACAGACCTATCTTATCAACACTATCTACAAGGTAATATTGTGTACACCACTGTGTTACAGTCTATCAGAAACCCAATAAAAAGCTAGTTGCACTTATCAAGACTTATCTATGACCAATACAGATAGTATCTGTTTAAGTAGTATCAGCAGCAGTATATAAAAGTGACCAACTCTTAATTAAAAGCAACTTTACTTAGAAGTCAAAAGTTGCAAAAGCAAGATTTTTCATCCTGTTTCATCGTTTAGTTAGTTTCTTGCAACATTGATCAAGTCAAGTCAAGTCAAGTCAAAGCCTTTATTTTCCTTCGAATGCTTGTTCGGCTTGATCTGTCTGCTTCTTTCCATGATGTGAATGAATGAATGAATGAATGAATGAACATAAACAGAAGAATGCAGACAGAGTCCGTAGATAATGAACAAAGGTTTCACAAACTTTTTCTACTTTTTTTCATCCCCCCTAGTTTGTAGTGTTCCTGTGGATCATGGTTGGTCTGACCTTCCTGGCCGGTGCCCTTGACCTCATGGTCACCAAACTGAAGGAGCTAGGGTCAAGGGTCAAGGACATCCCAAGCATAGACATAGATGGGGTCAACATGGACATGCCGAACATGAAAGGCTTCAAGTCCAAGAAGGGCCAAGACATCAAGCCCAAGGAGGTGGCCGAGTGGGGGAAGACAGGAAGGTACAACGGAGGGTTTGACACTCCTCTATGATGCGGTTACAGATGTTAGAGAGAGGAGGCTCCATATACATGTACTGTAAAACTATGCAAGGATCGTTCTCATCATGAAAGTTCATCATGAGTGTGTTCAACAAATTGAACGTAGTTACAAGTTTTATGTTCCAACACAAAAGAGAAATGTTCTCACCTGGGTCTACTGAGGAAGACCAGAGCGACTGGTCTTCCTCAGTAGACCCAGTGTTGATATCACACTTCAGAGAAGCCTTTTGACAAGTCTCACTGGGTCAGTTGATGAAGTGACTGGTTGAAAGCTCTAGTTGAAAATATTTATACCTATTTTGTTTGAATAAAAGTTTTAGCTATAAACAAGGATTGTTCTTTATAATCCATATAACAAAGATGGAATAATTGGGGAATAAAAGGCAAATTTGAATGCATTTTAGAATTGAAACATTAACCAAATGAAAACTACAACACAGCACTAGGGATTATAAGAGGCTGCAATATGTAGCTATCAGTACTCTCAATATTACCATAATACAGTTTTAATTTCCTTTTAGCTTGTAAAAAGCTGACTTTAATTTGCTAATGCATTACATGAGTCACTACATGTTGATATTGCAGAACAATACACCTCAGCAACAGAAGTAGTTACCTATTGAATAAATAATGACTCAAGAAATAAAAATGGGTTCAGATATAATTAGACCTATGTTATCACGGATCGCTGCTTGATGTTGTATAGAGTCATCTTGTCTGCTGCAACAAGAATTTAAACAGCCTTCCAGGAACTGAATTTCCTCAGTCTAATCATGACAGTTTAGATATTATTTACTGACTGTAGGTCCTCTTTTGGACAACATTCATCTTGTAAATTATGCTCCACCTGAAAATTGCAACTCCATGACAGCAAAAAAAGTACATATGATATAGTATAAGCTAGTAATCTAGTTACTAGAAGGTGAGAGAGTGAGGTGGTCGTCGGATTTACATGTAAGGTCAATAAAGGTGTCAGTGACAGTATCTACTACCATTTGACATGGGGGCATGTAAGATTTGTTTGTTCAAGCGTAATTTTCCTTCTGACGTGGTGAAATGAAAATGCCTGTATTTTGTTCCATAAGACATGGTCAAGAACATTGTAAAAGATCTTTTAAGATAGAGAGAATCCTAGAAATAACTGTTTAAACTGATCGTGTGGCCTTGTGTGCAATCATTTATTGTATGATTCTGTGGTAAAATATTTTAGTATTTACAACTATATGCTTAGTATTAACTATTAAGTTAGTAACATTAAAATGTATACTATTATGCAATTCCTACTACTACTACTGGGTGTATAGTGTTTTTTTTTCTATGCAAAGAGATTAATAATAAAGTTTTTCATGCATATAGCTCTTGCACTCTGTATGTGGTACATCGAGCATATCATTAACGCCCAGTGTCACTGACCCTCGATGACCTGAAAAGTTGTTCAACAAGTCTAGAGCAAGGCTCATTACAGTCGAAAGAACAAGATCTGACATCCCAGTGTCATATAGGATTGACTTGACGTCATCTCTGACTCAAGGCGTTGTTGTTGTCGCGGCGTTCGGTGGCGTCACGTTTTGCCTCCAGGGTGTGCATGACTGACTAAGCGTACCATGGCGGCGGGACGCACCAGTTGGGCAGCACTGCTGGGGCTGTTTGTGGTCTTCTGTAACTGGCTTTTTATCGGAGCAAAAATATTTCAAATATTGGAGGAGCATGAGGTAAGTAAGGAACAAGGATCATAAAGAAAACTGAATTGCTGCAGGACTTTTTACGTTAGACTCGTAGCAGAGAATAGTTTGATTGGCAGCAACCAGGTGTCACAGGTTATGCATGAATGAATTCTGTTTTGGACGGCCTTGAAGACCTTATAATTAAGCTACACCGACGAGACTGTCTCTTATCATTGGGGGTCTTCTCAGTCACATGTGACCCTAAGGATCTTAGAGTGACCTAACAGAGGTTCCTAACAGTGTTTAGGCGTAATCTCAGGGACGGACGGTTTTCTGCAGTCAATTACAAGCAGAGTACAAATGTCAAATGTCATGCAAAACAATGATGTATTCTAACAGACTGAGTTGCAAAGTTAGTAAAGTTGCAAAGTGTTGTCATGACTTACAAAGATTAATGTACGTCTGCGTGAATAACCATATCCAGCTCGTATAGGTAACAAAATGAATTATCAAATATTAGATATGAAACTATCTTTTTCAATGACAATCTATACGGAGAAGGCATAAGAAAGACAGACAATGAACTGGTGGAAAAGCTAGTGAAAGGTGTGGTGGGCAGGACATTTGAGAGTAAAGAGGAGGTTCTGAAGTTCGTCAAAGAAATAGACGCAGCCAGGAACGTGACTGTCAATTATGGTGAGTTGTAACGTATGTCAAATATGGGGAGTCTATAACATATCAATGTCTATCATATGGAGGAACATAGTCATTATATCATACATAAAAATCCCCAATGATACGTTATAGAATAAGGATGATTTTAGTGTGGCACGCTACATATAGTTCAAAACCTCTTTTTTTATGTTATAATATTAACTGGAATGTCTTTGCATGGATATGCATGTTGCATGAACTATAAAATTGGCCGACAATTGGACTAAATCTAATTAATAATGTATGTATCACTACCAGGCAGTGACACCACTGATGGCAGTTCCAGCCTCGATTACCTGGAGGCGCTGTTGTTTTGTCTCACCATCGTGACAACCATAGGATACGGACATGTTCCAATCACAACTGATGCAGGCAAAGTGAGTTTTCTTCTTAAAAGGGCAACAAGAGATAGTAGACTGGTGTAACATAGAGAAACTGCACTGCTCTTGATCTCTAAGGCTGCACGTATTACAGAAACTGCTGCAATGAGGGCAAGTTGCATGAGTGACTCACACAAACACAAAGACAGAACGGTTGCACCAATACAGTCAAGAACTAATTGGTTGAAAAAGACTAATGAACTAATATAACGATTATCCAATTAATGTACAACTGTTAATATAATAAATTTCTTTTAACCACGACTAAACAAAATCTCTGACTTTGTTATAATTAGCCTGACTACTGGGATGCTAATCTCAATGGTTTAAATTCTTTTTCAGGTTTTTCTGCTGTTTGTATGCATTCCTTGGCATCCCTCTCACCCTGACTATGCTGGCTGCCATAGGTGGGGAAGTTGGCAGATGGGCAAACAGGGTGAAGCAACCTGCTTTCATCAACAATTATTTTTTTTCTTCAAACTACAGCCACTCAAAGAAAAACCTGAAGAACTTTTTAACAACGCAGTAACACATATGTTCAATGCGTTACCTCATCCATATAGGCTTCTTAATGTGAGCTAGTTTTGAAAGTTCTTTCTGTAGCAATGTTGTTTCAGTAAATAATATATCACTGTGACAAAGTACATGCTTCTACCATTCTGAGTGTCAGTACTACAGTACACTGTTTTCAGATAATTTGCTTCCAACAGATGAACATAGAAATTCAATGTGTTTCTTTCATTCTAAGTTTCAGAACTACACGATAAGATGATTATACAATCTTCCAACTGATGTTCAGGTTCTCATCACTTGCATTCTCCTTTATCCAGATTTCTGGAAGATCAAGTCAAGAAGCGACTTGCGTTCCTCAAGAAACATCCTGACACGATCCGCTTTGTAAACATCTTCACCCTCACGACTGTGAACCTGGGCGTGTTTTTCTTCCTGCCTGCTTACGTGTTCTCCTGCCAGGAGACTGACTGGTCGTACCTGGATGCCCTGTACTACGTTTTCATCACCCTCAGTACTGTGGGGTTCGGGGACTACGTGGCTACACTGGAGCCTCGTCCAACTTACGCACAGAATGTTGCATACAAGGTGGGAAGAGTTATGTTTAAGTTCCTAACCCCACCTGTGGTGCATATGTAGGCGTCAAAATGGTTAGGAGCAACAGCTAGTCAGATCAGCACCAAGGACAGGGACTACTCATTTTCTCAGGGAAACCTCTTCCAAGGGTTGTTTTTAGTTCTGTGAGCAGACCAGATACAAAAAAAGGTCCTGTTCCACTCTGTGCAGACCATAGGAGTGGTGCCCATCTCCATTTCTGTAGCGCCTGGGCTACACGGTTGTGCAATCACTACAGCAAGGGTCTAGTCCACTGGTAGTGTTGTGTGTTTAACTAACATAGTAGTACTAGTATTACTCTTTCCCAAATGATGAGTGCTAAGCAGAGAAAGCAGCATGTACAATTTCAATAGTCTAATATGACTCGGCCATATATATAACAGTTACTATTAATGTGCAAATGTTTTTCATACATGTAGAGCACTATTGCACTTAGGCTGCACTTCCACATGCAATAGCAAGGAGGTGCTATTGAATGAGCCACATTGATTCTCTTTTCTCCAGATTGCGACATTCTGCTGGATCCTGACAGGCCTTTGTTTCCTGGCCTCAGTCTTCGACCTCCTCGTGGAAGAGATGAAGGGAGTAGAAGAGAGAATAAAGGAGGGGATGAACAAGCCTTTAGATGGTGGCGACCTTGACAATGGGAAAGAGACGGAAAAGGACATTCAAGGTCACACCAAGAAAGAGGAACAGGGAGAGGGGATGACAATAAGAGCTAGAACAGCAAAGAAAGCAGCAGTGTCCTCTGAGGAAATGGAAGAAGCTGGAACATGCCTGCCAGATAAAGAGAAACATGCTTAAGAGGGTACTCTCGAAGCAGAGGTTTAGTATTTGGGTTATTTCCTACTAGCAGGTGATTTTAGATGTCCTTATCACACAGTCTTTATCTGGGTATCTTTTTTTTTTACACCTTCGAGTGGCAAATGGATACAGCCTCACCACTTTGATACTGTCTGCCAATTCTTATCTTACAACTTGCGTCTTCCTGTGCCTACAGGCACATTGGGTAGCAAGTTTCCATCTTGCTGTCTTGCGTCAAAAGATTGCTTGGATATCATAACAGGTGTCATAAAAGGTGTACACTACTGTAACAGTACAGTTCCTTGCTGTTAAGTATCATGATTTAAATGAGATGAACTGTGACATTTGCTTGACCTCCAAACAGACAAAGGTTGTATTCAACAGTCTTGAACTTGACAGATGACAGTATTGATATACATCTACAGCCCAGTGTTGTAAATGAGAAGTTTTATCACCAGAGTCAACTTGACAATAGACTTCTCCTGCTATTGTTCACACCTGACTGTTTTGATGATTGTTTGCCAAGGGAAACCATCAAACAGACTTACTTGCAAATCTGGGTAACAAAAAAGCTTGTTAATTAGTTTATGTACCCAAAGAAATGGTATGTTGGATGTATGACAAAAAAGAATCATACAAATAAGTTTTCAAGGTGAGCAAAATTTATGATTATATCTTTCTTAAGGTTCTTTTCATCTGTAGTTCGAAACTTGGGCAGAAGTCAGCAAGCAGACTGCCTTAAAAATGAGAAGATTTAGGAAGAAAAATGGAGATAGGAAACAAATAAAACTACACGCCAGCTAGGGAGGTGACATAAATTCATTGGTATCATTGTTTTTGAAATTGTTTTACGCACCCCAAAAATAATGACATTATATAACTTTAATTCAACTTCAAGGCCAGCAATTAGAGCAAATAAATCATTCAGCATTACCAGAGACAAGCAGACTTCCTGCCTGGACAAGAAAAGTTCTACCCCTTTGCTCTCAGTAAAGGTTGACGACATTAATATTTAATCCCATGAGCTGACATGGGGGTGGTGTGGTGTGGGGTCCTGCATGGGGTAGTCCCGACAACGCTCTACGCTAAATTTTGAGAGCTGGCTATGTATTACGCTGAATTCAGGAATCCTCTCGATTACGCTTTTTGATAAATTCCAAGTGGCTACAACACGTTACGTAGAATTAAAACGGCGAATATATTACGCTCTTCGCAAAATGCGCCAATTACACTCTACGTTGAATTAGAGCAGTCCGTCTACGCTCTACGTAGAATTAAAACGGCTCTACGGAAAAGGGCATGTGGACCCCCATGGGTGACTCTCATTCGAAAGGTTCTAGTTTGATATGTTGGTGGCATTGTTCAAGACTTCTGCCGACATGAATGTTTGATGAGAAGTGCATTAGTCCACAGTTTAGCTCACTGCTTTCAAAGAATGGCAAAACGGTTGTAAAAAATCACTGTATTTAAAGAACACGCACCATAATATATTAATGTCATGACATACTTGACAGTGGTATATGTATATAAGGTCATGTACATGTATATAATGAAAACTGATGTAGACTACTTTTAGTCAATATTACATAATTGTTGGATCTGATAACTCAAAGTCAAAGCACAAAGGCAATAAAGTTCATTGATTTTTGTCCATAACAAAAGGACATTGTGTAATACTATACACATGTCTGTTATTCAGAATGCCAAATGTAATTACAATGTAGTGCCCTTCTCCATAATCATCGAACACTGAGCTAAAAATTAAAGTTTAAAGTCACTGGAAGTATAACTATGTTCGAATGAAAAGAAAACTGGAATCCACAACTAAATATGTCACCTTCCGAAAATAGTTTCATCAGGTTGGTAAAACTTAAGAGATAGGGGAATTCTTTTTACACAACCAAAGAGTCTCACCTCGCTGACGTTTCGGTGTCTGTCAGACACCTTCTTCAGAGCTTCTGACTGGAGTACTGCATCTCGCCGCTATATGTAGCCGATGTAGGTGGCGCTTTTGCGGCGAGAACACTGTCCCAAACGTGGCTTAGTTTCGTAACCCCCCCTCGTCCCGGTTCATTACAGGGGTTGACTTTCTGATCCAAACTGCCTCCTTGATCCAGCGGGTTCTTCTATTGTCTTCTCTGTCTATAACTTTCGCCCCCTCCCAGTCAATTACGCAGTTGTTTCTAGCAATGTGATCTGTCACTGCTGATTTCTTTTCTTCTTTTTGTGCATGTCTTTTCTGTGATCTTGTGTACTTCACTGTGTCCATGTTGTCAGCTTCCTTCTTGTGTTCTTCTAATCTTGTCCCAAATGTGCGTCCCGTTTCCCCTATGTAAACTTCACTGCAGCTCTTGCACGGGATCTTGTATATGCAGTCTGTTTTTGCCGTGTCCTGTAGTTTGTCTTTTGGGTGGACCAACAGACTCCTCAGTGTGGTTTTTGGCTTCACTGCGGTGGAGATGTTGTGTTTTCTAAACACTCTCTCAAGGGGCTCTGTGATTCCTTTGACATAGGGGATGATGACCATGGCCCTCGTTTTTTCTTCCTGCTTGTTGCTCTTATCCTTCTGCTTAGGTTGCTTACTTCGTTGTTCCACTTTCTTAAATGTCCATGGTGGGTAACCACACCGTGTTAGGGCTTTCTTGACATGTTGTGTCTCTAGTGCTTTGTCTGCATCTTCAGTGACTTACTGCATTGCACCGGTCTAGTAAGGTGCGAATGACTCCGAGTTTTTGGTGAAGGGGCTGGTGAGATTGGAAATTCAGGTACTGGTCTGTGTGTGTGGACTTTCTGTATACTAGGAGTTTCACTGTGCCATCTTCCTTCCTTACCATAAGGGTGTCGAGGAAGGGTAGCGTGCCATCTTTCTCTTCTTCGTGTGTAAACTGAATGCTCCCCGTAGGGTCAGTGTTGTTTAGATGGTCTGTAAGTTCCTGTTGTACCCCCCTCTTCACAATCTCCATTGGGGGGGTACAAACTAAGCCACGTTTGGGATAGTGTTCTCGCCGCAAAAGCGCCACCTACATCGGCTACATATAGCGGCGAGATGCAGTACTCCAGTCAGAAGCTCTGAAGAAGGTGTCTGACAGACACCGAAACGTCAGCGAGGTGAGACTCTTTGGTTGTGTAAAAAGAATTCCCCTATCTCTTAAATATGTCACCAGTATCTGTATTAGATTCTGTATACTAGCCAGTATAACTGCCATTCAGTGTAACACACCAGCTTTACAGGCATGTGGTGCATTGGCAGCTAGCTATGTTACACCAAAAAAAACTGTTACATTTAACCTTTGAACATCTAACTGCAGGTCTGAGTTGTTAAAAGCTGTCTAGTGATGATGCCCCAACTGTACTTGGTTCCACACTACAATACTATACTTCGGTATCACTCTGACTTACACTTCGGTAGAACTCTTATTCTTTGGTAGTACTCTTATTTTTCTATGTCTGTAAAGGCACTATGCATAGTCTAGCAGTGTTCTTCCCATTCCATTCTGACACTAACATAAAGTTTCTGGACTGACATGTTGAGGGGAGTAACAGGTAGTTTTGCCATGGAAATAAGTGTTCGAATCTGGCTCAAACGGGAGCTTTGCCAAAGTAAGAAAGTAAGTAAGTTATTCCATGGATAATATACGACTACACGTACATATAAGAGCTTACACCGTACGTTAAGATTGTAATGATGATATTGGATGGTGACTCACACATTAAAAACCTAAGCAGGAAGGGAGGTGGGAGGTTGTGTGGACTCAGTCAGTCGGGGAGCAATCTAGCCAGCATTAGGCCGATTCATCACTGAAAGATTGCTCACTTAACGTGGTAATAACACCCTAGAACCGATTCATCAACATTCACCAATTTGAATAATTTGTCTGCAATTTGGAAGTCTGCCCGAGTTTACCTTTCATGGCGGTTACTGAGAAATTCAACTCCAGTCACGAATCTAACGTTCTACTGAGAGAGCCCTATGTTCTGTCTTAGAGAGATATTACTTAGAGAGCCCTGTGCTGTCTACAGCAGTTGCTGTAATGATAACGGATGACAAAACTGTTTGATTTCAATGACCATATACAAAGCAGCAGAAACCCATAGTTAGATCTGCATGTAAGTTTGCATAAAAGACTATCATCTGTCTTTGTTTCTAATGTCCTAGTTGATACAGAAGTGATAAAGTCTTTTCAGGGGTGACCAGAAACCTTCTATCAATAAATAAAAATGGTTGTGTTTTACAACTTCACTGTACATATATAAGATACTTTACATTGAAGATGTCAACATTCAATAATCCATACTATCATGGTAGCTTCTATCCCTCCATATGAAGACTGTAATTTTTATAAGTCAATTTCAATTTTAGTACATTTTAGTTTTAGTAGATATAACAGCCTGTTGCATGAAGGTAACTGAAACTGATCACAGGATTTCCTATCTAAATGTATCTCCATCCAATGAAACAGTTGTGGATACAGAAAAAGCCACAGTCAGACATTTAATACCTTGCAATGTCGGAGCATATACATGTAAGGACCCCTGACAGCTACCCACTTATGCAGTGCAGGTTTCTGTGGTGCAGAAACCTGAGCCGAGCTGATGACAGGGAGGCTGGGAGATCAGGATGAAGAGGAATGACGCATGTCCTAACAACTGTGCTGTCAGTCAGGAACAGGAGACCACTGGAAGATTTGTTTTGATTTAGATCTATTAGGCCACACCAATTTAATTTGTTGGTTCTCGGATTCGCCTCTTCGTTTTTTTCTGATTTGCAAAAAAAAAAAAAATATGATTCTGGTTCTGAATCAACTGAAAAATGCTCATTTTTTGCCCTCAACAGTTGAGGAAAGTCCTTTTCTTCCTGGTTGTTACAGTTTTCCCATCTAACATTGCAGTGGTTTGATTAAAAGTTCAAAATTCAATGTTTAAATTTTAACCCAGCCTTTTGTGTTGACTTCATGGCTCATTTTGTAGCATTTAAGCCTATAATAGGATGCCTAGACCTATTTTTATTTTTATTTTTTTTCGCTCTGTCGCTTCATATTTTTTCTGAAAAAATCCGAGAACCAACAAATTAAATTGGTGTGGCCTTAGGCTGTATAAAATGATAGAGCCAGGACTGCTCAACTAGCCAGGGGCTATTTCAAAGGGCTAAGTGTCAGTCAGGAACAGGAGACCACAACTGGAAGATTTGATCTTAATATGCTCTGGTGTACAAGTTTGTTAATCTCCAAGAAGATCTTTTGGTGGCTGCAAAGACAGTCCAAATTGGCCAGGCAGTATATATCCATTTGACAGACAGTTACCATTAGCCAACCTAAGGTTTAGTGTAGAAAAAAGTTACCAGTACAAAAAAGAGAGCCCCATAAAAATGCCTGAAACAAGCCAAAAAATAAGCCAAAGCCTAAACCTCTCCTTGGAGAGTACACTTTTGTCCTTGCAAAATATTTTGCAATATTTTCTTTCACCAGTCTTTTGTCTTGGAGAAGTAGTCATAAAGGGTGCAAAAGAAACATAACTTATCAGAGAAAACCCCCATATCAAGACCTCTTAAATACCTGGTAGCCAAGACCCTACCCACATATGAGCCATCCCCATATAATTGTCAGTCTGTGGCACGAGGGTCACATAGGGGTTGCTGGGGGCAGCATATATCACAATTATGACATTCCCAAAGCAGCATGTCTAACAACTACATTGTCTACATCGTCCATGATAAATGCGTGTGTTTTTTCTGTGTCATTGTCAATTTTAAGACTTGAGCGCTTTATGAAAATGTGTTTAGCTTATTAAATTTTGCTATAAAAGCTACAGTAAGTTTGACAGCAGTAAACTAATCGTAGTAGCTTTGACAGCTGCAGCTACAGTGTATTCACTGGTAGACTGTGGAATTGTTTATTGAGCTTAAATTTGCAATACTGTTTTGATTACAATGACATACATGTAGTTACCTCCATGAATTTGTCTTTTTGTTGTGAACTTGGCACTGGAATCTTAAGACCAGAATTTTACCATTTGAAAGTGGATTGAAAAGGAATTCACATTGCACAAGGCAATTCACAGGCATTCAGATATCTATCAAAATGCCAGTTTAGTTCAAAAGAGTGATATTAGAACCTTTTATTGGTGCAATTTGAACTTATTATTGAATAACATAAAGTTGTAGCTGATCCTGCAATGGCATAGTTACATTTCATTGTGGCATGGCTACATGCACTGAATAAATAATCATGTTCAAACCCTCTTGGGTAAAATTCTACTTATGTCTCCGCAATGCTCTGCACATGTTACATCACTATGTTGACAATGCATAGCAAACTTGCTTGAATCAAAATAATGGGAAACTCTTCAAAGAAATATTTTGAAAACCACTGCGCTTAAAGCAAACAGACTGGATCTAAATCTTCCTGTCATGAATTCGGTGAATAAAACTGATAGAAACTTGATTATACGACTTTTGCGATCGTAGCAGACTACAGAAGATTCAATTATGGTGATGATTCATTTCTTGACGCGGTATTCGTCCTGTCATTTAATAGGTTAGGTTGGGTCATGGCAGATTTACGATCATTGTAATTTCTTTCGGTCAGGAATTTTGGCATTGGATCTCAGTCAAGTCCAGATATGGTCAGAATAACATCTACATATAGACGCGCATAGACTGCGCCATTGCAAACACAGGGAGGAAGCATTTAGAACACTGTTACAGTCACTAAGTATACAACAATGCTTTACAAATAGAGCAATACTGGCACATGCCCTTAAGGGCATGAATACGATTTTCTTCATGACTGAACAGTTATGACTGCTTGCACTATCAATCTCATTAACAGGTTCATACACGTAGTATTCCATACCCCATTATTTCTTTGGTACGGCCCTTCAAAACCATTCCAACCCTTAAAGCAGGCAAGGGTGCTTGCCATAACCTGACATAGTGGGGGCATTGCCTTACGGTGGTCCGCTGAATATGGAGAGGCGGCTTCACACAGAGGCAAGTTGACAGACACTGTTGACAAACAACTGAAGACTCACGGAGTCAAGAGGGCACATGTGATCCTGTGTCCTCACGTGTGTGTTGTCTGACATCTCGTCTGACTTCTCGTGACTAAAGTTCCATCATCCAGTGACAGTTGGTTGTGTCGCTCCGACATGCTACAATGTCTACTAGTAGCTATCTCGACAACTGCATGGTAGTCTGACGCGAGTAACTGCAACAATTTTACTGCCTTTCAAATGGTTTGACAACATAAGGGAGGACCTCTGCACCACTTGAACTTAGACAACGTCAACCCACAGGACAGAGGCAAGTGGCGGGCTACCATCAAGCCTCAGTACCACAGTGCAAGCACGTCTAAGACGGGGAACAACAGACGATAAACCGGACAGTGAGTGAGAGAGTTTCTGAAGTAGCAACGTAGTGAGAAACAATGAATTGGAAGGCGCTCCTAGGACTGGCGATAAGCTACGTGGCAGTGTTGCTGGTTGGTGCAGCAGTGTTCAAAGTCCTGGAGGAAGCCTTCAGTCCCCCTGTGAATGAGACAATAGGACTGCCGAGGAGATCAGACCTGGAAGGAGTGCTGCAGAACTTCAGCGATCATCAGAACTTGAGCGTTTCTCTTCAGGAGTTACTAGGACTCATCGATGCAGCAGATAAAGTCAGAAGTGTGAACGTCAAATACGGTAAGTTTTGTGTCTACTAGATATTTTATGTTTGGGAACACATCTATCATAGTAGCAGCGACACCTGTGATGTGCAATGTGAACCAGAATTGCTCTGAAGAAGGTGACAGGTGGTCATCGAAACATTGGCTGAATAAAACACTTGGTTGTGTAAAAAGATTCAGTGACGTGACCTTCCAACCTGATGAAACTACTTACGGAGGTAAGTCTTAGTCCCAATCATTTCTTGCTTTCGACTTTTCATTTCACAAGCTGAATTCCTCCAAGTTTAATAGTCCTGAAACAAACAAACAAAAGAAAAGCAGACAACAGAGAGATTAGAAAAGAAAGATTAAAAAAGATCACATCTTCTTTGTTGCCCATACCATAAAATGACTTGCCAGTACGTTCTATTCCTTTGACAGAGGACATTGTCTACATATCTTGGATATGGAAAAATATCTTGGATCTAGAAAAGAAAGCAGTCACATCTTCCTTGTTGCCAATACCATAAATGAATTGACATTTCTATTCCTTTGACAGTTGTCTACATCATAGCTAAAGACAACAAAAAGTCTTGGATCAGAAAGGAAAGCAGATCACATAGTCCTTGTTGCCTGTGACATAAATGACTTCCTAGTACATTAATTTTCTATTCCTTTGACAGTAACAATGGCTTTGTTAGTTGGCTTGGTCTACATCTGAGCTTAAGATAGCAGAAAGTCTTAAATCAGAAAAGAAAGCAGTCATACCATCCTTAATGCCTATACCATAAATGACTTCCCAGTTAGTACATTTCTATTCCTTTGACAGTTGGCCTTGTCAGTTGGCGTTGTCTACATCAGAGCTACAGCCAGGTCCTGACATACAAGTGCAGGGAGATGTGATCGATAAACCCTGACAATTGAGCAACCGAAGCTGAAGTAATTTCATTCCTCATCGTTGATTTCCCTGATGTTTATGGTCCGACATGTCACGTCACATTACGTGCAGATGAAACTGCAAATTCACAGATCTGACGGAGCCATGAAGTCTGTGGGCTGGGTGAGCATGTCGGCAGAATGTACTGCGCCTGCGCAGAACCCCGTATTTTCGCGTTTTTCGTTGGGTTTTTGGTCAACGTTGCATCAGAATTTTGCCTGTTGCAGAGGATATTCTTTCCAACATAACATTTGGAGACTACTGTCAAAATGCTAACCTTATATGAGCGAATACAACCTTATATGAGACATTCTGATGAAATGCTAGTATGTACAATACATTATGGGTTTCGCGCAGGTGCAGTACGTTCTGCCGACGTGCTGGCTGGGTGCTTCTTACCATAGGTCAAACCAATTTAATTTATTGGTTCTCGGATTTTTCCCAGAAAAAAGCAGAAGCAACAGGGAGAAATTAAAAAAATATAACAGGCCTAGGCATCCTTCCAAATGATATAACAGGAGCCATTAAGTTAACATACTGGGCTGGTTGTAATTCCAACTATGAATTTCCAACTTTTAATCAAACTAAGGCCATGTTGATTTGATTAATATATGGATGACATCCACCGGGAACCCCAAAATTGATGCGCGCGTGCGAATAAAAAAAAAGTTTTGCAAAAAAAAAAAAAAGTTGTTTTCATTATGAAATCTACGTGGTCATGAGGGTTGAACAAATGGGATAGAATATGGTTTGGCGAATATTATAGTCTTCAAGTTCATTTCTTTACAATTTCGTCTTTTTTCGTTTGATCTTGGCATTCTACGACATTGGTATGGTTTTTTTGTAACTTACGGTATATTTTTGCTCATTTTGCAACTATTTTGTACGATTTACAGTATGGTTGAAACCTTTTTTTTCTTTTGAAACAGCCTAAAATTCATGCGCGCGCGGATGTCATCCATAAAATCAAAATGGCCTAATGCATTGATACATGTAAAAACTGCAACAAACAGAAGGGCCTTTCTGTAACTGTTGGAGCCAAATTATGAGGCAATTATAAGTAAAAGTACCTTGCACTGATGGTATACTTAACTTTCAGCTCATTGCCACACAAGTTCATTTGAATGAGATGCAACATAAATCAGTTACCAAAGTATTGGTCCAGTCATTGTAGCCAGTCAGACACATTACTGTACTATAAACCTCATTTAGTTCCAGTGTAATCTACACTTCATACATAACGTTTTACAGTAATGGTTTTGGAAGATGAGATTTATCTTGTTACCATTGGCATGTGCTGTAGAAGTTCACTGAAAGTGGAGAAAAATGCCATTTTTTTACAATTCATTTGATTTCTTATATCAGTGAAGATCAATTGATTCTTACAAATAAAAATTGAATTATACATTTTTCGAAAATCCAATGGCAAGTGCTCTCACTCTCAAGTCTGGGCAAGAGTTTTGGTATACGAGTTCTGAGTTCACCCCAATGACCACAAATCTTCTAACAATTTAACCCCCACCACAGTACATACATTGCACTATTGGTAAAGATACCTCCTTAAATCAATGCCTTTTTCATTGCTTTTTCCTCATACAGTGCTGTAAAAAAGCTGCAGAAATTTCACATGGAGCCATAATCATGACATACCACATTGTAGATTACTAGGCTGATTACCTTAAACATGTACTAAGTAGTTTGATCCAAATAAGTAGGGGGAAAAGCCTATGCCCCGTTCGAATGTTTGAATATAAATAGATCACCCGAAGACACCAGGCTCGCTGCTTTTAACCATTGCTGAAAGAGTGATCTACTAACCAGATCTGAAGGAAATATGGATGCTATGCACTCTGTACAATTTATGGCAACAGATGCAAACTTCTTTTAAGACATTTGATAGCAAAACCTGTAATTGTTGTTGAAAAGCATTATCAATCAATCACTTAATTGAAGGTACCTGGGACATTATTTTTCATACCAAAAAGTCTTGCCATATTTTCTAAAAAAATTAACATTTGCAATAGAAGCTTTCCTTCATTCTTTATCGTACTAAGCCAATCAATCATCTCAAACTTGAGAAGCAGCCAAGAGGCCATAAAGTGTTGATTTATCGCATGTACAAAACAGATAGGACAAACTTAACACTAGTAATGTGGGATATCTCAGAGATCTGGCTTGGCATCTACATATTGTAGATGTTGCCCCGGCTTGTAAAGTTGACAATGTAATCATACAGATACACATGTACCATATGCTAACAACAATCGGTCAATTTCCTTGAACTACCATGCAGACTATGTGACCTACATATAAAGTACATTCAGTCCTTACAATGGTATGATTCTGTTTCCTATAGGAAAAAAACAACAATCAGGATGAATACTAAGTATTTACCAAGCTCCTGGGGAAATACAGATTCAAACTTGGTGCAAGTATAAAATCATTGACTCACTCAATCTAGAAGGTCAAGGCCTTCTACATTTGTCCGCTGTTATGCTGAAAGCAACATTATAACAGAATTTTGACTTATCAAGATCATGCTAATGTTGTAATGCCAAGTGTAACATCGTTGAAATAAATGAAAGTCTTGTGCTTTATGAACCCTGAAATTATGATCCTGTTATCGTTGAATTTGTGCAATGTTCGAATATGGTGAACAACAACAAGCAAAGAATGACCGACTACCCAACCTATTTGGTTCCATAAATGGGAACGTGGCTTATTCTGAAATTCACATGAAAATAGCTGGCCTCAGAACACCTCGAAATGATACGTCCCAAAGTGCACCATCATGTCAGTTTTAACGTTAAACATAGCCTCAGACAGCAGCTGGTTTTATAGCAATTACCGTAAATAAAGATGGTAGCAATTATTAGGTCAGACAAATGCCTCCCTGGGCTGGGTTGTTAATGAATCTTGTGGTTTAATACCCTTCGAATGCTACCCATGCTTTAACCAAAATTATGTCAGTGCAATGAGCAGGCCTTTTGTAGAATGTTAAATGAGTTCTTAGCACTAGATAGAATGTTAAATGGGCTTCTGTATCTGAATAGTCGGTATAACTGCCCTTAATTCAGCATAACACACCAGCTTTGCAGACATGTGGTGTGGTGGCAGCTGGCTATATTACACCAAATGGCTTGTTACACCTAGCCTTTGCACATATAACTCTACATGTAAATATTGTTTAAAGCTGCCTAGTCATGATGCCCCTATACTGTACTTCGTTTATACAACATCACATATTAGCCATAAAAAACAGCAGTTCTCCTATGTCTCCAATGCAATGTAATAATCATTTGAAACACCACCTAAGAGCTTGTAAAACTCAGATGCAAGAGACCAGCAACCAGTTCAAAATACTGTCCTTGTCTCTTCAAATTGATGTAGCCATTGGAGCCTTTGACCTCACAACAATGTCCTAATCATCTGAACTGTAACACACATATGTATGACTATGCATAGTCAACATACCAGTAGTGTAGTCATATGAGGACAAGAACATCAATAACATTGGCATCAATAACATCATGATAATGCTTCTTAAGTTAAGAAGACTTGCATACTAACACACACACACATAACCTGCATGGTACAAGTAAAATGTAACAGTTACTGTTCTGTTCTGCTATATAATTGGCTAGTTGCCAGTTTCAGAGGTGGAATTTATTTCTTTGAATGAAACAGCTTACTGATGACGATGATAAATATAACTGACAATTGCAGTAATTTCTTTTACTTCCTCTACCCTTGCAGCTGAGTCAGTGAACACAACAGCACAGCTCTACATCGACTTCTTTGACTCTCTGTTCTTCTGTGGCACCATCATTACCACTATAGGGTACGGCCACATCACACCACAGACTGATCCAGGAAAGGTAAAGTGCTAAAGCTGTGCCTGTGTAACAGGTCAGAATATTATCCCTAGCCATAATGTACTCAAGGTGTATATTTTGACCAGGGATATGGTCTGGCCTGTTACACCAGAATTTCGAGACCTGTACTCTTTGTACTTTGAGACATCTGCATCTTCAACTATAAGTTTCTAAACCTTTCTCAGATCTAGAAGTATCTTTGTATATGGATGATAAAAATAAATTCAATCTGTTCACAAAAACCTATTCTTACTCAGGGTTAACCTAAAAGATTGCTAATTGCTCACAAAGTTTTTAGATTATACTAAAAGATTGTTGTTGAACTAATGTTTTAAAAGTTTATAAAAAGCAGGGTTCCCAGAGGAAAACATACAGATTAGTTGACAGTTGCCTTTCTCTCCCCATCTGTAAGGACAGTTCATTGATCTATTATTGATAAGCTATGTCGCCAGTTATGTGTATTTTACTGTCTACTAAGTGCCCTTCTGGCCTGTCCATTAAGTAATGATTTAACGGTTGAGTTGCAGCTAGATAAGGCAAGAAACTGACAGAACCAATGGGGCAAACATAAATGCAGATGATGTTGACACATGCCATGTTGCCATTGTACAGAGTCATGTGCTCGCACTATGGTGTTGTTTACTTTTTTTGATGTGGCTTTTCTTGTTTTTTCTTGTGACTGTATATTCAACACTGTGCACACATTTGCATGCAGGCTCCTCCACACAAAGCATAAAAATATTTGAATCAAACAGTAGTTGAACAAGCTTCAATGTAATCCAATGTAACAGTCACTGTACTGTAGAATGTGTAAGACTTTCGTAAAGGTTTGTGAAAATTGTAACATACTATTAGGTCTTCCTTGAGTAGTTTCATCAGGTTGGTAAGTCATTGAATAAAGATACGTCAAAACCTGAGCAAAGAGACCATTGTTTTAGTCATCGAAATGTCAGATGGTTGGCTGTGTAACAAGAGTCTCTTAACTCAAGTTTTGACAATATTATCTTTATTCATTGACTAGTACCAACCTAATAGTACTTCCTGATTTCAAATACTCAGTAATCGATTGTGCACTGTAGCAATGGATTAAGTATATTTAGTTCCATTAGTGAGAGTAAAAGTACAACCACATCACATATCACTGAATGTTATAATGATCATAATTAACCCCCATGTATGTTGTCCTGTGTTTGTGTGTCACTGTGCAGCTCTTCTGTATTGCCTATGCTCTCATTGGCATCCCCATCACATTCTTCTTGCTGGCAGCGATCGGCATTAAAATCGGCGATGCCAATCGCTGGGGCGAGAAGAAAATCAAGCGTGCCTTGAAGGTGTTAGAGCGGTGGCCGGGGGTTCTGCGTTCTTGCACCATCTTCCTGATCACTGTGACTGGTTTCGGCATCTTCTTCTTCGCGCCTGCGTACCTTTTCACGATCGTGGAGGGATGGACTTACCTCCACTCCATTTACTATGTCTTCATAACACTCAGCACCATAGGTTTCGGGGACATGGTTACCACCTTGCAGGACATCGAGAATATTTACTACGACTACGCCTACAAGATAGCCGTGATCATTTGGATAATGATCGGACTCAGCTTCCTAGCCACCATCATAGACCTGATTTCTGACGCGATGAAGCAAATGCAGCAACAGATGCAGGAGAATCTGAAGAATGTGGCGACGGGAGTCAGTTTAGACAAGTTTGGGAACAGCCTGGCCGGTAGCGTTAAGGGCTTAGGCACGCCACAGATGCTGAAGAGAAAGGGGAAAGGAAAGAAAGGGAAGGCAGAGAGCGCGCCGGATATAAGCACAGGTTACGACACGTTGGAGAAGGAGAGGGGCATGGCCTGGGGGCCTGACAGGGAAACTATACTGTAGTGTGTAAGTTCACTGAATAGACCCACTGGTCTTCCTTGGTAGAGCTAGCATCTGTTTGTTGCAATAACATTCTGTCGTAGGCATGGATTAACGTATGCAAAACATGCATTTAAACAAGCGTCATGACTTTTATACAGTAGCAACTGGTAGAACTACATGTAGCACCTGTCTGTAGCAATAACATTCTGTTGTAGGCTTACATCTGTGCACGGAAATTTGTAGCTACAACAGTATACAGTAATCAGCATGGAAACTTTGGATTAATGTATGCAAAACTTGACTTTCATACAGTAGCTATGATGCATGAAGTCTATGGTAGTTTTTAGAAATGACCAAGTACAACCTTTAAAAGTAATCGAATAGATTGAATGTCATTAACCATAAATAACAGTTATACGTGTACATATTGGTAGTAGTGTCACTTTAGAACTAGAAATCAAGTTTTCATAGCCACTCCTGAATAAAACTTTGAGATTCCCTCTAAGGTAAGATAATCATTCATAGCTATGTCTAAGTTCATTAGACTGGAATTTTAACACTAACGTCTTAATCTTCATCATTCAGTAGATTATCCCAATGTCCTGTCCTTCCATGTTGCTGAATGTGCAATTGCTTGCTGTTGCCTCTTAGTCACTCTTTTCATGTGCTATATGCTGCTATACTTATATCCTTTGCTGTAATGTGTGCTGTACCTTCTACTAACACATACACCACACAAGTCCTCTGAGGCCACTATCTCATCAATTAACCTTAGTAGCCAGTAGCATGCTAATTTCTTAAAATAGAACCTATATCAAATATCCTACCTGATTTTGTAATAAAACCAGAGTCTCTGTAGGTAGAAGGCAAAAAAAGAACTCCTACTCAACCCATCTGGTGCCAAAACACCATCTTACATGTAGCTTCCCTCACTTCTTCATCCCGGGGCGTACTAACCCAAAAGCTAAACCCCCACATTTTCTCATCTCTCCAGCAGAACTATGTGATCATCACTAATCTCCAATCCTTGCAACATAGTCTATCATCCCAATCCTATGCTTTAGCCTAGACCCTCAAACGTTTTGTAACAGTTTTATATGACTAATATACCAAACTTCTCTTCCTTTTTCTTCTCTCAGCAAAAGACAGTATCACATTGGCCAGACAGTATCCATTGGCCACCCGATGGCTAATGGACACTCCTCTGGTCAATGGATACTGTCTTGCCACTGTATGATCTGCTTGGAGTTTACAATGTTCATTACCCCGATACTATGCTTTACTCCAGATCACCAATTTTTTTTTGCAAAATATGATAAATATACCAAAGTGTGTCTTCCTTTTTTTTCTCTCAGCTTTTCTGCATAGCGTACGCCCTCATCGGGATTCCTATCACCGTTTTCTTCCTGGCCGGAATCGGCATCAAGCTGGGAGACGCAAACCGTTGGGTCGAGAAGAAAGTCAAGACTGCCGTCAGCAAACTGGCAAGAAACCCTGGAGTGATCCGTATAGCCACTCTCCTCATTACTCTATTCATAGGTTTTGGTACCTTCTTTTTTGTCCCTGCTTATATCTTTACTCTGGTAGAGAAGTGGAAGTATCTGGATGCGATTTACTATGTGTTTATAACGCTGAGTACGATAGGGTTCGGGGATATGGTCACTACAGTAAATGAGCTAGAAGGAGTGGAAGTATTTTACGATTACTTGTACAAGGTGGCTGTGATCATTTGGATCATGACTGGCCTGACGTTCTTGTCCATGATCATCGATCTTGTACAAGACGGATTAAAAACGGTGAAACAGAAGATGAAAAGTGAACTTGATGCAGTCAATCTAGACAAGTTTCCAGGGCGTAACATGTCACTTATGGCTTTGAAGAAGAAAAGGGGTGGTGGTTCCAAAACTGACAGTCCTGCTGGTTCTAACTCGGCAGTGGACTCTTTGGAAGATGATAAGGAAGAAAAATTGCTTTCTGAGGACAATAGAGAAAAGGGAATCAAAGAAACTATTATCTGAAATATACAATGCACAGACTCTTTCAGGGCATGGCTTCTTTGAGTTCTCTAGCCAACTTAAGCCCGATATCTACATGTACCCTTCCTAAGCATTGGCTCTTTTTGCAATGGTCCACTCTGCTTCAGAAAGCTAAAGCAAGGAAGCATAGTAACACACACTGAGGAAGGATAGACTCGAGGCTCAGGCAACTCTGCCATCTGAACCAGTTGGACCTAAAAATCTATTAGTTTAAACAAGCACCTTTGCCAAACAATTATTGCCTAAGAACTATGGAATTGAAGTCATGATTTGAATATGTTGCATCATCATGTTGCATAACTTAGTTATAATATACATGTACATGATTCAGCACCAAGGACAGACACAGTGTATAGTACTGATACATGATTCAGCACCAAGGACAGGCACAGTGTATGGTACTGATACATGATTCAGCACCAAGGACAGACACAGCGTATGGTACTGATACATGATTCAGCATCAAGGACAGACACAGTGTATGGTACTGATACATGATTCAGCACCAAGGATAGGCACAGTGTATGGTACTGATACATGATTCAGCACCAAGGACAGGCACAGTGTATGGTACTGATACATGATTCAGCATCAAGAACAGACACAGTGTATGGTACTGATACATGATTCAGCACTAAGGACAGGCACAGTGTATGGTACTGATACATGATTCAGCATCAAGGACAGGCAGAGTGTGTGGTACTGATACATGTTTCAGCACAAAGGAAATTATTGTTACATTTCTTAGATTCTCAGTTTGTGGCTACATGTTGGCAATCTGAGGATCTGGGTTCAGATTTGGATGGATCCAAGAAATGTTGGAAGTATTCAACTGTAATTTTACTAATTATTGCAAGCAATGTTCAGATTTGGATGGATCCAAGAAATGTTGGAAGTATTCAACTGTAATTATTGCAAGCAATGTTCAGATTTGGATGGATCCAAGAAATGTTAGAAGTATTCAACTGTAATTATTGCAAGCAACTTATAGAGGATGCCACGGACAAAGGGAAGATTGAGTGGCTTCAAAACAGCACCTTAATTTACATTCAATTAGTACTACCATTAATTCAATCAATGTAACATCAGATTACAACTATCTAGCAGGAATTTTGTAAAACAATGCCATATCCTGTGATTGGAGCAACTAACTTGTTATGATGCTTATGCTTGTCATAAGGCCTAATGTTGGAGGCCCCAAGGACTTGACTGTAAAATATCAAATGTCAGAATGTACATACTATGATACAATATTGTAATTGCATGTAATGCATGCATGGCTAAATTTATTCTATATATTGTGCATGCATATGTAAGAGGTGAAATCATTCTTTCAGATGTACAAACTACAAAGTATTACTATTTAAGCAGCTACGGTAACACAACTCTATGTAGCTTTTAAACCATATAATGTATATAGTAGAAGTGCTAACTATATTACATAATAAGAAAAAGTTACTAGTAGGGTTCAAAATATTTCCAATTAACAAAAAGAATTATTTCTTTGGACTATGTACAATAGTTTAAGTGTGTGATGTTAGAATATTCAATGTTTTGTAGTTTAGCAAATAAAGGACCTGCAAAAGAAGAGTTTAAGGCATGAATGATGGTAACAATATGTTAAATGACCTTAAAGTGGAAGAAAAAAGACATTAGATGACTTACAATAAAAAAGAATTATTAGGAAACCACAAAGCCATTAGTAACTGAAATTAAAAATGAAATTTGTGGATGTACTGAATACTTAGTATATCAAAATACAGTATAATTAAGCTGTTTTTTTACCACAGCAATCTTAGGCAAACACTTGTTCCTCTTGTAGTAGTTACCATGTATTCCACATTTAGCAAATCAATGTATTTACATGTATATTTATTCATTTTTTACAAGATCTTGGCTATGAAATGTAGGTAAAACACTTAGTGAATGACAACAGCTCACTTAAAGATGATAATCTAAAGAAAACAGTGTTACCTATTAAACTGTGTTACTTGATTCTTTGTTTTAAAACACTTTAAAATGTCTTTGCAGAAGAAGCTAGTATTAAACGTGATAAAACCATGGAGTTGTCTTCATTCTGTTCACTTTTGATCATTCGCCAACTGGACAAACAAAATATTCTTATCACTTGTTGGTTTCCGTCTGACCTGCTTATTTCCAAAATACAACTGCAAAAGAATGTACTACATACTTGGGTTCCTTGGCAAGGTCTACTGCACATCTAATATTTGTTTAAGGCTTGCGCAAATAATGGTCAATGAATTGACCGATTGCTTGGTTGGTTGGTTGCTTGGTTGGTTGGTGGAACAATTAAACACTTGTAACACTCGGAAGACTCCAGCATACTTATCCTAACCAAGAGAAAAGATTAAGCTCAACAGGTAGACATCTTCAAGGTCACAATGCACAAAATGTCACAAGCCTGATTAGTGTACGTTAATGAAAGCAGTTAGATAATTACATTAAGTGGCTATGGGAACATCAATGTCATTCTTTGACACTGGAACAATAGTCAGTCAATAGCTATATTTACATTGTCAGCCGGTTGCAACACCTGGAATTTCCAGTTCTAAATTTAGACGAAGGACCAGTTTTACTGCAGAAAGTACACCCTATCCCAGCCACCCGTAACACAGAAGTCGAAGAGCGTCACCAGAAGCTCCAGGACCTGTAATCTTCTTACAACTTACATTTAAATGTATTTGACAAACGTGTCCAATCAGGTGTTCATCAACAAAACTGGCTTCTACCTGAAGTAGACTTGCGAATTGGAGAGGTCAGTTGTTCACTTCCTTTTTGTATCTCTTGTTAGTTTAGTATAGAGGATCCTTACTTCTGCTTTTCCTACCCTGTCTTAGAGTGGCAGGCTGGCAGCCTTAATCTTTACAAACTGAAGACATTATTAAGTTGTGATGTGGTTAAGTTGATGTAAAATAGTCCTCTATTATTATGTGATGCATGAAGAAAGTTGTTGTACAGTTAAGCTAATTCAAAGGCTTGTAAAGACAAATCCCAAGTTGACAGATCAATTATTGTAAGGCAGTTTGCTTTACTAAATCTGACTTAAATTTTAATATCTTTAAAAAGAAATGTAAAAAAAAAAACAGCAGACGTTTTGATTTCTCAACCTTTTTTCCATGCTGCCTAAAGTTAAACCTATTTCCAATAGCAATCTAGTGTGATAAAGGGTCAATTAATCTGGGAGATTAAGGTTATATCCCTGTTTGACTTGGAGGAAGCAAGGTTCTTATGGTAGATTCTTACATCACAAGAGTGAAAGGAACTATGGAATGCTTAACTGTAATTGAAGTTGGGGTGCACATTATTGAATTTGGTATCAAAACAATTTCACATTTTTTCAAAACTTTTAGTGAGTAATTGTTACAATATATTCTGCCACAGATGGAGGACAGTGACAGGAAGAAACTTAAAAAGAATCGAAAGGCTATTGTTCGAGATCTGTTGGTTCATGACATTGGTGACCACTTGGTGCAAGAAGGCATTCTTCTGGACAACCACTGGGAGGAAATAACTTCTCAAAACACAAGTGACTTGAGGGCAGGAAAACTACTTGATATCCTTGTGAGAAGAGGAGAACAAGCATTTCAAGTTTTCCTGACTGCTCTGATTGAGAAGTATCCTCACTTAGCCCGTCTCCTACAGAGTGACAACAATTCAGTTCAGAGGCCTTCATGCCTTTCTTGTGCAGAATATATCAATACATTACACATAGAGTTGGAAACTATGCGTGCTGAGATCAACAGGTTGAAAGGACAGATTGCAAAAACGGAAGAAGGTCTGCAAAAGAAAGAGAAAGACCTGCAAAAAAAGGAAGCAGAGTTAAAGAAAAAAAGAAAAGAGGAAACAAAGTTAAAAGAACAACTGCAACATCATAGAGACTTGCACACAGCAACAAAAAAGAAACTCAACAACATAGAAAACAATGCCTCATCCAAATTGAATGCGGGAAACAAAAGTTCAAAGAAAACTGGGAAAAGTAGTCAAAAAGACTCTCCGCGGAAAAGTGCGGGTAAAAAGAAACAAATGAAACCTAGAACAGAACCTGAGGAACAAATTGATCGGACTGCTAACTATCAACCAATAAGGGGGCAGCAGGAGAACCAGCCTAACACACAGACCAGAGCAACAAAACCAACACCACCTGATGGCACAGTTCCCTCAACTGTCTCCAACACTTCCGTAAAGCAACCGGAAAAGAAACCAATGCAAGACAGTGCTGCAAAAGTGGCCCAACATACAGAACCAACAAGGAAAAGAACTGAATGGTATCATAAACAACCAGCACAGGCTAGTCCCGTTCAATCAAACCATTCAGCGTTCCATCAGCAAAGGAGTAAAACAAGTGATCATGTATCAAACAGTTACTATGGTAAGGTACCTGATCATAAGAACAGAACAGGTCAACAGCCAAAATAACACCTGCTTTAATACCTTCATTTGAAATTGAAACAAAACAGGACTGTGATATTACCATATATGTAATGTATTTCCACAAATCTCAGGGAATAATAAACTATCTATTTGTATGCAGTGTCTGTGTCATTTCATTTTTTTTTACTGGCATGTATTTTTTCATGAAATGGTCCCTTATATATACTGGACATACATATATTTGTGTCCACTTGATAATCAAATAATAGGGTAAGGAGCTTCTGTGTGAAACTGGCGGCAACCAGATTATCTTAGAAGTAGTTGTTAAGCCTTCAGGCCAGGCAAGAGATATACAGGACCACAAACGTTATACATGTATATGTAGTAGTCTAAATGATCTCGACCTTACAAGGAGACAGAGAGATAACTGCATGTCCACAAAAACTAAAATTTTCCAGATGACGCTAGTATTAAAGTGTCCATGACCATGAATTGTTTTCATGCTGTTCACTTTTGATCATGTGTCAAGGAAGTGGACAAACAGAATATCACATATTGGGTTCTGTCAACTGCAGCCACCTAGCAGCAGA